CACATTTTCCCCTCCAAGATCTGGCCATAGTCATTTCACAAGAGAAATGAAAAAAAAATGATTAAAAGGAAACAGGACAGACAGTGAGTAAGCCATGAACAACTGCCCGAAGAACTGTAAAAACCCAAGATCATTTCCATGTGTTTCAATTAAGGTTGCCACAAGGGGTGGATAAAGAACTGAAGAGGATATTGATAAAGTCGTATCCATTCCCTCCTTTTGTCAGGGTAGTTAGTTAGAGCCAAAGAATAAGGTACAATAACTGGGGAATTTGTAAAGTTTTAACACATAAAAATATCTGGTATAAATCCAAAGCAAACAGTCTAATTTATAATCCTATCAGCCAATCAGACAATATTAAAAGGCACTTTATTGCCAAACCGGTTTGGCTCAGTGGATGGAGCTGTCGGCCTGTGGACTGAAGGGTCCCAGGTTCAATTCCAGTCAAGGGCATGTGCCTTGTTTGCGGGCACATCCCCAGTGGGAGGTGTGCAGGAGGTGGCTGGTTGATGTTTCTCTCTCATCGATGTTTCTAACTCTCTATCCCTCTCCCCTCCTCTCTGTGAAAAATCAATAAAAAATATTTTTTTAAAAGCAACCTTTTAAAAAATAAATAAATAAAAGGCACTTTATTCACACATTTTTAACATAAACAGAAAGGACTAAGGTTGTATAACAGTAGTCGTCTTTCAAAGGTAAGATAACAAATTAAATGTTTTTCCCTTTCTTATACATCAATTACACTCTATTCTACACAGTTTAGAAATGGCTGGTAATAAGAAAAACACAGATTTGGTAAACATGCCTAGGCAGTTAACATCTACAAATCAAGCTAACTACCAAAATGTTATAAATAACATTTATAGTGTTAGCAAATTTTTCAGGCTATCGTACATTTTTCTACAAAGTCATTTCCTCCATTAAAAGGTGTTATAGGTTGAACTGTGTCACCCCAAAATTCGTATGTTGAAATCCTAACCCTTTCGGAATGTGACCTTGTTTGTAATAGGGTCACTGCAGATGTAATTTTGTTAGGATGAGCCCTAATCCAATGCGACCCACGTCCTTATAAAAAGAGGAAAGTTGGACACAGAGAGATACACACAGCGAAAACTCCACATGGCGATGAAGGCAGAGATCGGGATGACATTTCTACAGGCCAAGGAATGCCAAAGATGGCAAGCAAATCTCCAGAAGCTCGGGGGGAGGCGCGGAACATTCTCCCTCCCAGCCTTCAGAAGGAACCAACCCTGTCGACTCCCTGGTCTTGGACTTCTAGCCTTCAGAACTGTGAGGCAACACAACAAATTTTTGTTGGTTAAGCCACCCAGGTTGTTGAAGATTTTTACAGCAGCCCTAACAAAGTAATATAAAAGGTTTCAAAGCATAGCTCATGAGACATAAAACTGACCACATACATTTTTCCTAACAATCTCTTTTGCTGAATAGTGCTTTGCAAAATCAATATATCCTCTGTATGCTTCTCCTCCCCTTCCCACCCCCATTACTGTAGCTATACAAGGCCATGTCCATCAGTTTTCTCCAAGGGAATGTACAAAGAAGTGGCATATGGCATATTCAGATCTGGCCCCTAAGATCATGGCACGCCTCCTCCATACTCTCTTGTTCTCCATCAGCTCACATTTGGACATGGTGACCCACCTTCAACCATACGGATGAGGTTCATAACATAAGGAACAGCAGAGCTACTTTGCAGAAGGAATCTGGGTCTCTGACAGTATGGGAATACTCACCTTAGAATGTTAGGTGAAAGTAAAATAGCTCTGTTCCTTAAACCACTATATTATTGGGTTTCTCTGCTATCACGGGTTAGTCTTTTGCCCTAATAGAGTGTCAGGGGAACTAAAATGTTTCAAACACATGCAATAAAGCAGTATACAGAAAATCAGGTAGATCTCTGAAACATTAACTATGGCCGAATGGGAAAAGTTTATGTGCACATATAGTAAACTGAACTACTATTACAGCGTCAAATTTGAGACAATGCATTTCATGATCTTCGTAGTTGTTAAACTACAATGTAAACCCTTTGGGAAATGTACCAATTCTTATTCTTAAAGATATTTTTAAATTTTTTGATTTTTAGAGAGAGAGGAAGGGAGAGGGAGAGAGACAGAAAACATCGATGTGAGAGCAAAACATTGGCTGCCTCCTGCACGCCCCCTACCTGGGGTCTGCAACCAGGGCATGTGCCCTGACCAGGAATCAAACCAGCAACCTTCTGGTGCGTGGGATGGCATTCAACCAAGTGAGCACACCAGCCAGGGCTTCTTTCATTTTTTAAATTTCAAAATTTTTCAGTGAGAATAATTAACTTACATTAATAATATTGCTATGACTTTACATATATTCTAAAGGTACAAATACCGATGTAACATAGAAAAAGTTTCACACTCCTCCTCCAATCCCCTCTTTAGGGAGAGCCGGTATGAAGCTGGGAAGGTATCCTTCCAGACTACGATGTTTTTTTTAAATAATACGGTAGTCAAATTTTAAATTTTAAAACCAGAGAGGTTTTAATTTTGGTTTGTGATACACACCTGGAGTCAGAGCCAAAACACGTTCTAATAAGCACACAGAGCCTCTGAATTTCATTACTCTGGAAGAAGAGAAGTATTTTTCAAAGATGCTAATGACCAGCAATATGCCCTATTTCTTGTTCTTAAATGTTTCCCCAAATGTCATTACATGAAACTGGAATATGTGTGACTAGGAGGAAGTTCCTGGAGGACAATCCAACCCTTCTCCATTACTTCATTCTACTGTCGATGAACCATAATGTCTATTTCTGTCTGGTCAAAACAGAACATTACTCTTCTGGAACTTGGGATGTTTGCCTTTTATTAAGTTACAGGTTTTTTCCAGAGTTAAGTATCCAAATCCTATATGGGCACTTGTCTATCGGAAGACGCTTTCTATCTAATGAATTAAAGAAGAAAATGAGATTAAAACTATTCTCATTTAGTTATTCAGGGACCTCATTAACCTGTAACCACGAGTAGAATCTACAATTCCAACTCATAGCGTGTGGGACACACACATGTTCCTGGATTCAAGCATGTGTTCCTATTTAAACGGCTGGAATGTATATAGGGCTCCACAAAGAGTGATAAATATTAGCAAATCTTCTAAGAATGAAGGTCCTTTATGACCACAGATGCTGTGTTTTGATTCAGCTTTTAAAATGTCTGAGTCATACAAAGCTGAACCGTCTGCTTTTTACATTTATCTGCAAGTTAAAGAACAATGAAAAAAAAAAAATTCCTTCCACAAATATCGTCTATTTGCCCAATCACGGCCAACCCAAGACAAATCTGAGATTTCTGCTCTGTCCTCTGTTTTCTTCCCCTTGTGGCAAGCCTGCCCTAGAGGAAGGCTGGGCATTCCGAAATGCCCAGGTATTAAGGACAAGTTGGATATTAACCAATGTCAGAGACTGCCAAGTCAAAGGCTTCAGGCATAGTACATAAAACTTCAATAGCCTGACCCTAAAGCAGGGATGGAAAACTGTGGTCTGGCACATTCTATTTGGCCTACATAGCATTTTTTAATTTTTTAAAAATTTTAAAGCCCTTTAGGATAGCGCCCCCCCCCCCTTTAAAAGAAGGTATTTCATCATATAGGATACTGTAGCTCACCTTGCACTATGAACCCCTCATATGTTATGTGCCAGGCAAATGTTTGGAGTATGAGCACCACATAAATTTTTCCACCTCTGAGCCTTCTTACATTCTGGGTCTTCGCCTAGAATGCCTTCCAACCCACCCAAGCCTACCTCTTCACATGGCTAACGTCCACTCTTGTGAAGACCTCAAGAAGTCCTTCCTAATCTCCTAAAGTCCCAGTTAAGTGCTTAATCCTCCATGGCCCCAGACTCTCCTGCTATTTCTGTGACGATATCACCAGACACCAGACTAATTCCTTTAGGGCAGGGATGATGCCTTGCTCATTTTGGTCTCTCCAGTGTGTAGCACACAGCAGGTGGTAAATAAATATTTTCAGAATGAAGAAATGGCAATATAAGCATCAGCTCTGAAAATATTTGCTTTTAATACTCTTGGCAGAGAATGCAGATGAATGATGAAGGTGACCAAAAAAAAAAAAGAAAGTAGATCACACAGAAGTCAAGAGAATAAAGGGCCTTGTAAAGGTCATGTCTGATTACACAGAGGTGTTTTCCCAAGGCCTGATGACCCTCTGCAGCAGTATTTAATCTCATCCATAGTTGCTGCTATATTTTCCCTCTTCCCTTCCCCTAAGGCACCCTACATGTTGGTTCCTACACACACTTTCTAGATCCCAACAGCAAAGACACAAACACAATAAAGCCAAATAAGTAAAAAAAAACAAAAAAAAACACATAAACTAGAATCAATTTCTCTGAAACAATAGGCATCTTCCCTTATATAAGACAGTTATTTTAAGAAACTGAGCTGATCAGAATTAGTCAACTGCTCTTCATAGTTTCTCATACTCATTGTTTAATCAGCTCCACTCCTATTTCCCTTTGCTATATGTGAGGGCAGAGTGTCTTCATTGAAGACCAGAACTTTCAGAGGACACCCGGGGACAGAAGTGACATGGCTACCGATGGTGAGCAAGTAGGTCTAAAGGTACATCCCGCCCACAGTCATGCTTACTGGAAATGAGGAAAGCTATGAGGGACTCCTCCTATGCTTGGGGAAGAGCAAAAAAAGGGAGCAGCAATAAAAGAAGATAATCAGGACAGTATACCTGGCAGCCCTCCTTGTCTCCAAGTAAAACACCTCATTAGATTTGCCCAGAAGGAGCCTTTTTAGAATGGTTAAGTGACACACAGCATCCCACCCTTACCTCGCCCTGAGCACCTCTGGCTATCTTATCAAGAAAGAACCTATTCCCTTTCACATGGAAGGGGATCGTTCAGGGGTTTCTACTGAGATGGGTATGGGTATATTTCTCCTTAATTATCACCAAGGCAGGAGTAAAAAGCAACTTACCTTTTGAAAAAAGTCTTCCCCACTTTTGCCTTTTCCTTCGGCAGCAGCTGTAAATAAAAATGTATACATTTAAAATCATTCCTTTTTTGCAACCTGTGTATTCAAAAACTCTCAAGTATCAGGTAGGAGAATCCAGAGGTAAACAAGATGCCATTCTTGTTCTCCCAAATCTCAGTGTCTGCTAACAGGCCTCATCAGGGGTATGAAAGGAATAAAGAGTAAAACACTAGTCCAAACAATTATACTTCCAGCTCCTCTTCCTGTCTGAAAGACTCACACATCTCTTGTCACACATAGATGAAAGGAATCTCCTTTCATATTTAAAGAACTATATGAACAAATGCTACCACCAATATAATCGGCTGTAGTGCTCTCAGCACTTCCTGTCTGTAATCAATCCCAGGCCTGAAGCTGCCTTTTCAACCGGGACTCAGAGAACATGGCCTGCTGAGCTGGGTCAGTTTTGTGCTGTGCAGTGACCATATTCTCTACTTGGATTTCGGTTGGCATTATATGCTACTTTAATTCACTCCTTCATTGGCTTATATAAAGAGGGGGAAAAACACATCAGAATTAAATGGTAATGGTAACGTCACAGACAACAATAAAACTTCATGTGAGATTAATTAAAAGGTCACTGTATTTGAACAGTCTTTTTATATCTAAGAGGTAGCCTATAAACACAGGACAAACCCAGCTCTTTATGTTCAAACATCTTAACTTTCTGTGAACTTTTTTTTTTTATCTGTGGAGGCAGAGGTGGGAAATGTGACTAAAGGGAGAGAGGCGATTTTATCTTGCTTGCAATAGCCTCAAAGTGCATCCTTCAGAGGATAAACACCAAAGGGGCCTCAGATTCCAGTGCAGAAGAACAGGGATTCACTGGAGAAGCCACCCCGGCCTGGACAAAGAAAGGAGCTGGAGCAGCAACTCCTGGAACTTATTAAAATGATTAAAGACCCAAAAAGTAAGGGAGGTCATTCTGTTTGGTGGAGGACTCAAAACTCAAAGAAATTATCTCTACCCTCAAGATAATAACAATATTATAAATTATTTTTTCACAGGTTTAATGTCACATTTAATACTCCCAAGCCGCAGTTTGCTGACCACTGCCTTAACCAATAAAGAAATTAAAGAAAATAAATAAATAAATAAATAAATGAATGAATGAATGACAAGACACCTACAATTTTGGGATATGCTTTTATTGATATGTTTTCACCCAAAAAAAGAGAGCGCAGAGTACAAGTCTCCGTGCTTACCAAGGGCAATTTGAAGGAAAGTATGAAAACAGTAGCTAAAAAGATAAAGAATTAAAAATTGTATTCTAATGTGTGGCAGGCTAAATAACACCCCCTAAAAATGTTCATGTCCCAATCCGTGGAACCTATCAATATGTTACCTTACATGGCAAAGGGTATTTTACAGATGTGATTAAATTAAGAATCTTGAGACAGGAAGATTATCCTAAATTATCCAGGTGGATCCAGTGAAATCACAGGGAGGAAGAAGAAAGCTCAGAGTCCAAAAAAGCAATGCGACAATTAAAAAACATACAGAGAAGGGTGTGTGACAACAAACAAGAGAGGTGGAGAGGAGAAAGATACAGATATACTATGCTGCTGGCTTTGAAGATGGCAGAAGGGGCCATAAGCCAAGGACTGTCGGCAGCCTCCAGCAGCTAGAAAAAGTAAGGAAATGGATTCTCCTTCCGAGCCTCTGCAGGGAGCACAGCTCTGCCAACACCTTGATATAGCACAATGAAACCCATTTCGGACTTCTGACCTCCAGAACGTAAGGTAATAAATTAATGTTGTATGCCACTATACTTGTGGTAATTTGTTACAGCAGCAAAACACTAATACATAATGCCAATAGCATCTTAACTTTACTTTTTGCACAAATACACCATCAATAGCATGAATCGAGTGCACACATGGACGTGAGCATTTGAAGCACACATTTCCACAGAAAGATTTTTTGTAGTTAACTCTACAGATTCTGACTTTCTCTCCCTAACTTGGAAATGTATCAACATTAAAGCTTTAAAAAAAAAAAAAACATTAAGAGCCAATTTTAAGAACAAAAGCTTACTCTTTCTAAATAAACTAGCAAATGTGGTTGATCCTAGCTAAAGGGGGTCACCCAGGCAAGGTAAAACATCAGTACCCAAACCTAATGATGCAGACTTATTATTAAGTGCCTTGGAGGGACTTCAATTCTGCTACCTCTTGGGCTGTCTTTATCTCTAAAGCTAAAAACAGTTTAAAGGGGTCTAATATATATAACACAATTGCATGGCAATGAACACTACATACCAGGACACAACATTTTGAAAAAATTCTAGTGACATCAAGGAAACCCATCTTTGAAAAGAAATTTTAGAATCCAAGATATTTTCAAAAGCCTATGAAGGAAGGCAGCTAATCACCCCTTTCACCCACACAGAACTCTTACACAACTTGGAATTCGTCAGTTAAGATTTCATGATACAACTATATTTTATTACAGAAACCTCGTTTAGGACACTTATTTTGTTCATGACAAACTCATTATGTCACAACCTTGAAATGCCCCTTCATTCCAAGTCTGAACAGACTTCATAGAATGGCCTTTCAATCCCAGAATGAATAAAAAGGGGGGAATTTCCTTAGTTAGACCCAAGCTATACTTAACTTTGTTCCAGAAAAACAACTAAGATTTAACCAGAAACTTGCACCTTTTAGCAACCTTATGATTTGAGGGGAGCCAAATGGCAAACTCTTTGGCACCAAAAACTACTGTTCTTTTTTATGCCAAATGTGTATGTCTGAGAAACTCCAAATGTGAGCCTGTTTCGCCCTAAATCCTGAGAAGTATCCATTTCCCAAGACCACAAGTGCCCTCGTAAAAGAATCTGGTTGGATTCTTGGTTAGATCACAGGTACAAACCATGGCTGGTCCCAGCCACTGGCGCTTCGCCGGGAGTGTTCTTACCTAATTCCCAGGTTCCCAGGTCTCCTACTGGACTTTTACTGCCCACACTCAAGCAAAGCTGTCAAGCCCAAAGAAGCCACTCAAGGGAGAATAATATTTCCACCAGAGTATTCTCTCCCCACAGACAGAAATCCTTCTATGCTCAAATATGGAAGTGCAATTCTCAAACTTACTCTAAAATCTTTAATATCAAAATACAAACACTGAAGAAGTGAGAGACTGGGAGGAAGGAGCTTGGGGAACATTTTTTTTATATAAACTTAGGTATTATTTTTTTTCTTTTTTCTTTTTCTTTATTAAGGTATTACATATGTGTCCTTATCGCCTCATTGCCCTCACCCCCCTGGTGTCTGTGTCCATTGGTTAGGCTTATATGCAGGCATACAAGTCCTTTGGTCGATCTCTTCCCCTTACCCCCACCCTCCCCTACCTTCCCTCCAAGACCCGACAGTCCAATCAATGCCGCTCCATCTCTGGATCAGTCCTTGTTCGTTCGCCATCACTGACTTAGGCTGTTCCCAAATCTTAGCTATGGTGAATGGTGCTGATATGAACATAGGGGTGTATATATCCTTTCTGATTGGTGTTTCTAGTTTCTTGGGATATATTCTTAAAAGTGGCATCACTGGGAGATCGGTCCCTTGTTAGGTTTTTGCAGAAACTCCATACTGTTACCACAGTGGCTGCATCAGTCTGCATTCCCATCAGCAGTGCACAAGGGTTCCTTTTTCTCCATATCCTCGCCATCACTTGTCATTTGTTGATTTGTTGATGATAGCCGTTCTGACAGGTGTGAGATGGTAACACGTTGTCATTTTGATTTGCACCTCTCGGATGATTAGTGACTTTGGGCATGTTTTCATATGTCTGTTGGCCTTCCTTCTGTCTTCTTTCGAAAAGTATCTATTTAGGTCTCTTGCCCACTTTTTGATTGGGTTGTTTATCTTCATTTTGTTAAGCTGTATGAGTTTCCTGTAAATGTTGGAGATTAAACCCTTATCAGTGATAACATTGGCAAATATGTTCTCCCACGCAGTGGGCTTTCTTGTTGTTTTGTTGATGGTTTCTTTTGCTGTGCAGAAGCTTATTTTGATGTAGTCCCATTTGTTTATTTTCTCTTTATTTTCCATTGCCCTAGGACAGTGGTTCTCAACCTTCCTAATGCCGCAACCCTTTAATACAGTTCCTACACAAAGATTTCTTGTTATTTTGTTGATGGTTTCTTTTGCTGTACAAAAGCTTTTTATTTTGATGTAATCCCATTTGTTTATTTTCTCTTTACTTTCCATGGCCCTAGGAGCTGTAACGGTGAAGATATTGTTTCGGCGTATGTCTGAGGTTTTGCTGCCTGTGGATTCCTCTAGTATTTTTATGGTTTCCCATCTTATGTTTAAGTCCTTTATCCATTTTGAGTTTACTTTTGTGTATGGTGTAAGTTGGTGGTCTAATTTCACTGTTTTGCATGTATCTGTCCAATTTTCCCAACACCATTTATTGAAGAGACTGTCTTGACTCCATTGCATGTGCTTGCCTTCTGTGTCAAATATTAATTAAGCATAATCGGCTTTGTCTGATTTCTGGGGTCTCTGTTCTGTTCCATTGACCTATATGTCTGTTCCTGTGCCAGTACCAGGCTGTTTTGATTACAGTGACTTTGTAGTATAACTTAAAATATCTGGAATTGTGATTCCTCCTATTTTGTTCCTCTTAAGATTGCTGCAGCTATTTGAGTTGTTTTTTTTTGTTTGTTTTGTTTTTAGTTCCATATACATTTTTGGAGTATTAGTTCTAGATCTGTGAAATATGCTATTGATATTTTATGCTGGAATATGCTGTTGGGATTGCATTGAATCTGTAGATTGCCCTGGGTAGTATGGACATTTTAATGATGTTGAGTCTACCAATCCATGAACAAGAAGTATTGTTTCACTTGTTTATTTCTTCTTCTATCTCTTTTTTCC